GGGGGGGGCAGAGGATGCCCCACGGGCCACATGGGACAGCTGTGGGGGGTGACAACCCCCCCCGGCTCCCCCAGGACTACGGCTATGTCCAGACAACGGCACCCGAGGTGCTGCGCAACTTCATGCACACGGAGCCCGTGGCCACCAAACCCTTCAGCCTCCTCGACCTGGGCTCCATTGGGCTGGTGAGGACCCAGGGACACCCCAAATCCCCGCCCCCAGCCCAGCCAGGGTGCCCAAACCCTGTCGTCCCCCCTGTGTCATTGCAGTTCGGCGCTGAGACGCAGCAGAGCAGGGTAGCCCCCAGCTCGGCCGCCAGCCGCCCCGTGCTGCCACCCCGGGGGGAGCAGGTAGGACCCTCTCAGTGTCCCTATGACCCCCTATTGTCCCCCTCCCAGCCTTGACCCCCCCCATCTGGCCACAGGGCACCAGGAACGAGGTCTTCGTGGACGTGGTGGAGAGGCTGACAGTGGTCATCGCCGCCAACGTGAGTGGGGACAGGGATCCCCTGCCCGTTGCCCCCCCCCCCGCCCCTCAGCGTGTCCCCAAAGCATTGCCCCATGTCCCCTGGGTGTTTTGGCTCTGCCCACTGCCCCCAGGCCCCCCCCACCCCGGGACCCCCTGAAGTCCCATCCACCCACCCTGCCCATCCCAGCTCAGCCCACGTCCCCTTTCCCCAGGGGACACCCATGAAGGTGGACGTCCAGGGGGAAATCCGCCTCAAGTGCTACCTGCCCAGCTGCGTGGGTAAGGAGGGGCAGGGGTTGGGGTACTGGGGAGTCAGGGACAGCCAGGGCCATCCCCCAGGGTGACTCCACGCCGTCCCTGTCCCTGCAGAGATGCGCATTGGGCTGACGGAGGAGTTCTGCGTGGGCAAGTCGGAACTGCGGGGTGAGCCCCTGCCCAGTCCCCTCCAAATACCTGCCTCTGCCCTCCAGCACACCCCCAGCTGCCCCCCAGCGCTTGCTTTTCCCTGCTACGCCCTGCTTTGACCCCCACCACGGCGTAGCGCCCTTCTCTGCCCCCTCCAGGCTATGGCACGGCTGTCCGGGTGGATGAATGCGCCTTCCACAGCTCTATCAAGCTGGACGAGTTTGAGAGCGGGAGGGTCCTGAAGGTGACCCCGAGCCAGGGGGAGGTGAGGAATGCCAGGGGACACTGGGGATGGGGGGGGGGTGCTGCAGCAGCCCCACCTGAGCCCTGTCTCCCGCAGCTCACGCTCATGCAGTACCAGCTGGCAGATGACATCCCTTCGCCTCTGCCTTTCCGCCTCTTCCCCACCGTGGACCAGGACCCCACCGGGAGGTGAGTAGGGGGGTGCAGAGGGGGGGCATTACCCTGACCATCTCCAGGGTTGACCCCAATTCTGACCATCCTTGTTTCCCTGCAGGCTCCGGCTGTATCTGAAGCTCCGCTGTGACCTGCCCCCCAAGAGGTAGGTGCCCAGAGGGCCCAGGGGGGCCGTGGCAGAGCCTGGCCCCTGAGCCCCTCATCTCAAATTCCAGCCAAGCTCTCAATGTCCGTCTGCAGCTGCCCGTGCCCAAGGGGGTGAGCAGGTGGGTGCTGGCATTTGGGGGGCTGGGGGCTGTCACCCGCCTTGTCACCCCCTCACCACCTGTGCCCCCCCAGCCTGGCGCAGGAGCTGAGCAGCCCCGAGCAGACAGCCGAGCTGCAGCCCGGCACCAAGTCCATCCACTGGGACATCCCGCGCTGCCAGGGGGGATCACAGCTCTCTGCGCTCTTCAAGGTGAGGGCTGGGGTGGGGGGGAGGGCCAGGCAGGGAGCTCCCCCAGGGCTTGGGGATGGGCAGGGACCTGTTCCCCTCCCTGCTCCTTGGGGAGCCCTTTGGGAACCTGTTCCTCTTGTGGGGGTGACCATGGGGCCTGGGACAGGCAGGGACCCGCATCCCCTTCAGGGGGGGCAGCTGCGGTGCCCAGGGAGAGGTGGGGAGCTGGTGTCCCATGCCATCCCTGGTGTCACCGTGCCCTCCCCGCAGCTGGAAGTGCCGGGGCTGAGTCGTGCATCGCTGCTGGAGCTGGGCCCGGCCAACCTGGCCTTTGAGCTGCCTGCACACACCTGCTCGGGGCTGCACGTCCGCTTCGTGCGGCTGCCGGGGCCGGCCGGGCCCCCCCAGCGCTGGGTGCGCTACCTCACCCACAGTGACTCCTACGTGCTGCGCCTCTGAGCGGGGACCCCCCCGCCGAGACCTGCACCCTGCGGACCCCTGACACCAGGGACCTAGGCCCTGAAAGGCGAACCTGCGCCTGACGCCAGCTGTCAACCGAGTATTTATTTATTAACCATCACCAAACAACAGGGCCCAGGGAGCCAGGCTCCCCTAGATTTGGGCTTGTAACAACAATAAACAGGCACCGAACTGCTCTGCGCTGCCGGGGTCCCTCGCTCAGATGTCCTGTGGGTAGAGGGGTCCTGCAAGACTCCCCCAAAATGGAGGGGAGGGCTCTCCCTTGGGGTCCCTCTTCCCCCGGTGACCCTGTGCGTTCCACCCCCAGCTCACCTCAATGCCCAGGATGGTGGAGTCGAAGAGGTCCCGGAGCTGGTCCTCGGGGGCTAGCAGAGTCTGGGGAGGGGGGGGAGGTTGGGGTGGGGTGGGGG